AAAAAATACATAAAATCTGGAAGGAAATATTATAAAAGAAAAAATAATATACAGAAAAATAAATCTTATAAGAAAGATAAAAAATAATGTAAGTGTTGGAATTGTGGAGAAATATGTCATATAAGTCCTGATTGTACAAAGAAAAAAGTGAGAATATTACAAAAGGATTATTTTGAAATAGAAAGCGAATTAAGTGAAATATCTGATATTGAAAATTATAATAATCAAGAAATATTTATAAGTGAAATAGATTCAGAAGATTATGGATCAGAATCTGAATAGAGAAATTGAAGAAATAGAAAATAATAATATAGAAATCCAAGAATATGAGGGAATAGAAGGTTATGAATTAAAAGTAACCTTTGATAATAATAAATTTAAGAAAATACAAAAGTTATCCTTAGATTTGAAAATAGGAAAATGGGAAATTCTAGATAGAATATGGAGAAGAGAAAGAATGGCAATAAATGAATACCATAAGATTGAAAAAACTATAGATGTTAGAACTACTCAGGGAACACATAAAATAAATCTTTTAACAAAAAGTACAGTGACAGAATTATTATCAAAAATAAGTAAAAAACATAGTGAAAGGATCTAATATGTTTATTTAGCAGGAATACAAATAATATTTAAATCCCTATTTAGGGAAGGAATAGATTCACCATTAACTGTAAGTTTACATGATGGAAGAATTATAAATTTGGAAGATGGTCATTTAGGAACTATAGAAGGAAATTTAGCATACCAAAAGTTAATATTTACTTGTTACCCAAAATATTGTGTCTCATTGAAAGATAAAAACTTTAATGAAATTTTAGGATTACATTTCAAATTATATAGAAATGATATAATGGAACCAGGAGATCAAATTATGACTATGGAATATAGGGCATTATATACATTTTCTAATTCAAAATATGGAAATATTTATTCCAATAAACCATACATAGAAATTCATAAGGAATGTAATGATATTAGTAAAATAGTGGAACCAAACAAACAAATAAATCTTATCCCAGAAGAATGTGAATTTAATATAACTAAAAATAAGCC